GCGCTGCAGCCCCTTCACCACGGGACGCGGCCGCGCGCATCCGGGTGGCAGCCAAGCTCTCAGCGCCTTTGCAGCCCCAGCATTTCCAGGCCGCCCTGCAGGCATCGCTCCGCAGTCTCACGTCCCCCTCTCCGCATCCGGCAGCGCCCTTCCCCTCACGGACCGGTGCCTGCCAGGCGGGTTGTCTCCGCGGCCCGTGCGCGGTGGAGGGGATGCGGCTGGGCAGTGTGGCCCCCTGTGTGGTCCCCGGCCCCAGGAGCTGGCCCCGGGGACGTGAGCTCGCCGAGTGGTCACATCACTGCGTCCCAATCGCCCTCCACACCGGGTCTTGCCCCGTGACTTCTGCCCTCACAGTGTTTCTGCCACCGCAATGCCACCTGCTGTGAGCCTGCAGAACCGGAAAGGAAACTCTCTCCCGCCAGGTTCCCAGCCCCGGGGGTTTTACTGTGGTAACCGAAAGCAACACCAGGAGGGTCCGCCCCGCTCTGCGACTGAACCAGGAGCGCAGCCGCCTGCGCAGCCGCAGCGTGCAGAGGGCCTCGGCGCTTGTTCCGTGGTCGCCAGGAAATACAAAGACTTCCCCTGAAAGAGAGGGCGCGAGTTGGCGAGCCTGGGGAGCCGCCCCACGCAGGCCCTCACGCACAGGAGGCGTGTCCTGGGCGCCGCTCAGTCCACCATACGCGCGCCCTTGGGTTTCCAGCACTGGGGACTGAACGCAGGGCCTTTGCCCCGAGCTGCATCCCGGGCCCTTTACTTTTTATTTGGTGACATGGCCGTGCTAAGTCGCTGAGTTACCCAGGCTGGACTCAGATTGCAGCCCTCCTGCCTCAGCTTCCCAGCATGCTGGGATTGCAGGTGTGCGTCCCCACACCAGCTCACAGGTTCTTTAGAGCACTTATTTTCCGTTCTGCTGCCAACACCCCTCACCCTCCCTTCCCGGGGATGGCACCCGCCCGAGCAGTGTTGCTGGCTTGGCCTTTTGCTGGGTTCTCCCTGAATTCATCCTCTAATGAGGGCAGTGAGTCTATCGACAAACGCGCATGTGAGAAGAGCAGTCCGAGGCAGGTCTCCCCCACCGACACCGCCAGGCTGCAGGTGTCCCTGTGCGGGCCTTGTCCGCGGGGCGAGGACCGCACCAGGACACCCTTCTGATCCTGGAGTAACTAGAGAATGAGAGCCAGGCCCCGGGGAGCTGCCCCTTGAGAGAGACTGCTGTGTCTCAGAGCAGGGCTCAGCCAGCCAGCACCCATGGACTGAGTCCAGCTACCACCTATTTCGGTACAGAACAAAATGAAAAATGTGTCCAAAAGAATCAAAAGACAGAACTCTGTAGCCAAAACATGGAAACAACCTAGTGTCCAGCAACAGATGAATGTGATCCATCCATACAATGGAATATTACTCAGCCATGAAAATTAGCGAGGCAATGACACATGCTGCAACGTGGATGAGGCTCAAGACTTGAGAGGCTTTTGGTGAGCCAGCAGTGCTCAGAAGAGAAATTGAAAGTACAAGCCATCTGAACTGCAAATTTAAACAATGTGAAATACCATTTTTTGCCCACCAGACTGACCGGGGCCTGGCCAGGCCTGCCCATGGTCCCCTTGGTGAACAACTGTCTCACTTCCAGAGGGCACAACTTGCCCACAGCTACCAAGAGCACCGCGGGCACGCAGTGCTTCCAGGAATTCCTCCAACAGAAACACAGGCGCCTAAGATGTGTGGAGAAGCAGCGTTTCGAGCGGGCCTGTGTCTGGACCACAAGGAGGAAGCTCTTCAGGCACCAGCTGGGGCGACTGCCCAGAAGCACGGAGAGGAGAAAGCGAGAGAGGAAACAGCCACAGCTCCTGTGGTGTGTTCCAGGTGAGGAATTCCTAACAGTGATATTTCTGGGGGCAGAGGCGGCCAGGGCCCAGGGCGGTAGACTTCTGATTGTATACTTTTCAATTTCTGACATCCAAGCTATTTTAGAGTTAAACATACTTTTATTTTTTATGCCCAATAACATTTAAAAAAATTTCATTAAACATACATTTTAAAAAGGGAAGGAGGAAATGGCCTTGAACTCGTGGTGGTCCTCCTGCCTCAGCCTCCCAAGTGTGGAGATCACAGGTGTGCACCCCACTCAGATGTATACTTAGATTTTTTGGTTCTGTATATTTTACAATAAAAACCAATATCTATTAAATGTGTCAATCCAAAACCCTTGCTTACGTGCAGCACGGCAGGGTTAGGACTGGAAAACGATTGTATCTTGGACTCATCCATCCCGAGCCCCCTAAGAAACCCACTGCAAGAGATGGCCTGGTGCGCCATGGGTACCCCAGGATGCAGGTGCAGGGGACCGAGGATGAAGACCTGGCTGTGGACACCGGGACCCCAGCAGCAGGGCGCAGGGGACTTCAGGATGACGGTCGTGGGAACCCCACGATGCCGTAGGCATAGGGGACGCCAAAATGCGGGCGCAGGAGACCCCAGCCACAGAAAGCCCGGAAGGACGCCGTGAGCGGTGGGTCAGGGACCTCCTGACTGCTGGATTTATGGGATCGACTGAAGAGGGGACCCAGGGCTGGAGCTAACCCTTCACTCAGACCTGCTCGGTGGCCTCCGGCGAGCCCTGCGCCAGCCTGTGCCCGCCTCCCCAAAACCCCGCCTCGCGCCTGCGCAGACCCTGCGCCGGGACGAACCCCGCCCCCCCGCGGACGCTCCGCGCCTGCGCAGACCCTGCCCCAGCGCACACGCACCAGCCCTCCGGCCGCGGGGGCGGGGTCGGCGTCGGCGGCCCATCGTCCGATGCCACCCATTGGCCGAGAGGTGGGGCGTGAGCCGAGACTGCCGGAGATTGGGCGGCGAGCGAGCAGCCGGCGGGGCAGGCCAATCGCGTGGCGGCGCGCGGGAGGAGCGCCGGCGCGGTGATCCGCCAGCACTCG